GACTTCCTCTAGGTTTAGTTTCTGTACTTCTACATGCAACTTTCTCAGAATGTTCTGATCAGTGACCCCAATCTTGGCAATAAAAAAACCCCCTATTTTTCTAGAAAGAAATGAGGACTTTAATTTTCCACTCAGCCTTGCTCTGACATTCCCTAATAACAGGATGAACAACAGTAACTATGATGTAATCTTCTTTACTTTATGCAATACGTTTATAGCAAAATTGCTTTTCCTATGTAAGAGCAAATGTAGCATATACATTTTTAGCTTTGGGCTTCAAACTGTTATTTGCACCTATGGTTGGAATTAACAGTGAAAAATATATTGATTGTTCATCCCATCGATGCTGCAACCTTCTTGAATATGAAATGCCTTGACCCTGGCTCATGTTTTATACATTACGATATGTAATCATGGTCACTGTTCCATAAATTTACCTTTTTAAAATTTAGAAGTGAATAAAATTTTCTATATAGACCAGAGTCCCTACAATTTTGACTGTACCTAAACTTGCCAGTATGATTCAATCACTTAGATTAAAAATTAAAAGCTACTGGTAGTATGTAAATACATTAATTAGAGGGCAACCTGTGAAATCAGTATTATCTCTTTAACAATTTACAACCCAAAACTGCATTAGTCACTTACAGTGCCTTCTGAAAAAGAATATATACATACATATCCACTGCTGTATCAATCCTCAGAGATTCTCTATCCTCAGTGACATATTGCTAAGGTTTCTTTTATTTCTTTTTTTCTTTGTGCCTCACAGTGAAGGACATCCTAGGCATAGTCTTTGCTTTGAAAAATTTGTACTTCCCTGTTATTATTACATTCTCTCTTTTTTGAAGTTATAACTTCTCTGTTACTTACTTTCCTAGTGTAGAGCTATGTCTAGGATCTGGAGCTCACAGACTCCTCAAATCCTGTTCACAAACCCTTCACATGCAGGTCTACGAGCTAGGTAACTGGGAAAAAGGTCCTTGGAGACTTGGTTGAAGAAGGAATAGTCTTTATTCAGCACACACAAATATAATACCTAGGTAGTCCAAAGAGAAACTCAGAAACTCAACTCCTACTGGCAAAGTTCAAAGGAAAACTGAGCACCTGCCAGCAGAGTAAACATGTTCTATTTTTAGACTCGAACTCTGCCAGCCAGCTCTGCTTCACAAACTGAAGAACACACAATAGCAATTAATTAAAAAGATACATGGGTGCACATGCGCACTAACTTCACCCACACAACTTGTTTACAAGAATTAAGAATGTGCTTCTCGACCCCCCAACCAGACCTGAGCTGAGGGAGCCTGACTATCTTATTTTCCCGACAATCCACCCCTTCAGGGTCCCTCGCCGAACAATCTACATGTTAAAAATCTTCCATGATGTTCCCTTAGCAAGTATAAATGACCCTTTTATTTATACAACCTATTGTCTGTTCGATATGGCTTAAGGCTTGTCCT